GCTTGGCCTTGGCTTCGGCTTCTTGCTTGGCCTTCTCCTCCTTCTTGGAGATCTTGAGTCGGCCTCCTTCTTCTGGCCTCTTCAGCATCAGCCTTTGCCTTGGCTTCGACTTCCTGCTTGGCCTTGGCTTCGGCTTCTTGCTTGGCCCCGGCTTCTTGCTTGGCCTTCTCCTCCTTCTTGGAGATCTTGGAGTCGGCCTCCTTCTTCTTAGCCTCTTCAGCATCAGCCTTTGCCTTGGCTTCGGCTTCCTGCTTGGCCTTGGCTTCGGCTTCTTGCTTAGCCTTGGCTTCGGCTTCTTGCTTGACCTTCTCCTCCTTCTTGAGATCTTGAGTCGGCCTCCTTCTTCTTGGCCTCTTCAGCATCAGCCTTTGCCTTGGCTTCGGCTTCCTGCTTGGCCTTGGCTTCGGCTTCTTGCTTGGCCTTGGCTTCGGCTTCTTGCTTGCCTTGACCTTCTCCCTCCCTTCTTGGAGATCTTGGAGTCGGCCTCCTTCTTCTTGGCCTCTTCAGCATCAGCTTTTGCCTTGGCTTCGGCTTCTTGCTTGGCCTTGGCTTCGGCTTCTTGCTTAGCCTTGGCTTCGGCTTCATGCTTGGCCTTGGCTTCGGCTTCTTGCTCGGCCTTGGCTTCGGCTTCTTTTGGCCTTGGCTTCGGCTTCTTCTTGGTCTTCTCCTCCTTCTTGGAGATCTTGGAGTCGGCCTCCTTCTTCTTGGCCTCTTCAGCATCAGCCTTTGCCTTGCCTTCGGCTTCCTGCTTGGCCTTGGCTTCGGCTTCTTTTTGGCCTTCTCCTCCTTCTTGGAGATCTTGAGTCGCCCTCCTTCTTCTTGGCCTCTTCAGCATCAGCCTTTGCCTTGGCCTTCGGCTTCCTGCTTGGCCTTGGCTTCGGCTTCCTGCTTGGCCTTGGCTTAGCTTCCGGCTTCCTGCTTGGCCTTGGCTTCGGCTTCTTGCCTGGCCTTGGCTTCGGCTTCCTGCTTGGCCTTGGCTTCGGCTTCTTGCATGGCCTTCTCCTCCTTTTTGGAGATCTTGAGTCCGGCCTCCTTCTTCTTGGCCTCTTCAGCATCAGCCTTTGCCTTGCCTTCGGCTTCCTGCTTGGCCTTGGCTTCGGCTTCTTGCTTGGCCTTGGCTTCGGCTTCCTGTTGGCCTTCTCCTCCTTCTTGGAGATCTTGGAGTCGGCCTCCTTCTTCTTGGCCTCTTCAGCATCAGCCTTTGCCTTGCCTTCGGCTTCCTGCTTGGCCTTGGCTTCGGCTTCTTGCTTGGCCTTGGCTTCGGCTTCTTGCTTGGCCTTCTCCTCCTTCTTGGAGATCTTGGAGTCGGCCTCCTTCTTCTTGGCCTCTTCAGCATCAGCCTTTGCCTTGCCTTCGGCTTCCTGCTTGGCCTTGGCTTCGGCTTTTGCTTGGCCTTGGCTTCGGCTTCTGCTTGGCCTTCTCCCTCCTTCTTGGAGATCTTGGAGTCGGCCTCCTTCTTCTTGGCCTCTTCAGCATCAGCCTTTGCCTTGCCTTCGGCTTCCTGCTTGGCCTTGGCTTCGGCTTCTTGCTTGGCCTTGGCTTCGGCTTCTTGCTTGGCCTTCTCCTCCTTCTTGGAGATCTTGGAGTCGGCCTCCTTCTTCTTGGCCTCATCAGCATCAGCCTTTGCCTTGGCTCGGCTTGCTTGGCCTTGGCTTCGGCTTCTTGCTTGGCCTTCTCCTCCTTCTTGGAGATCTTGGAGTCGGCCTCCTTCTTCTTAGCCTCTTCAGCATCAGCCTTTGCCTTGGCTTCGGCTTCCATGCTTGGCCTTGGCTTCGGCTTCTCTTGCTTGGCCTTGGCTTCGGCTTCTTGCTTGGCCTTGGCTTCTTGCTTGGGCCTTCTCCTCCTTCTTGGAGATCTTGGAGTCGGCCTCCTTCTTCTTGGCCTCTTCAGCATCAGCCATAGGCTTGGCTTCGGCTTCCTGCTTGGCCTTGGCTTCGGCTTCTTGCTTAGCCTTCTCCTCCTTCTTGGAGATCTTGGAGTCGGCCTCCTTCTTCTTGGCCTCTTCAGCATCAGCCTTTGCCTTGGCTTCGACTTCCTGCTTGGCCTTGGCTTCGGCTTCTTGCTTGGCCCTGGCTTCGGCTTCTTGCTTGGCCTTCTCCTCCTTCTTGGAGATCTTGGAGTCGGCCTCCTTCTTCTTGGCCTCTTCAGCATCAGCCATAGCCTTGGCTTCTGGCTTCCGCTTGGCCTTGGCTTCGGCTTCTTGCTTGGCCTTCTCCTCCTTCTTGGAGATCTTGGAGTCGGCCTCCTTCTTCTTGGCCTCTTCAGCATCAGCCTTTGCCTTGGCTTCGACTTCCTGCTTGGCCTTGGCTTCGGCTTCTTGCTTGGCCTTGGCTTCGGCTTCTTGCTTGGCCTTCTCCCCTTCTTGGAGATCTTGGAGTCGGCCTCCTTCTTCTTGGCCTCTTCAGCATCAGCCTTTGCCTTGGCTTCGGCTTCCTGCTTGGCCTTAGCTGGCTGCCTGCTTAGCCTTCTTCGGCTTCTTGCTTAGCCTTGGCTTCGGCTTCCTGCTTCGGGCCTTGGCTTCGGCTTCTGCTTGGCCTTGGCTGGCTTCTTGCCCGGCCTTCTCCTCCTTCTTGAGATCTTGAGTCGGCCTCCTTCTTCTTGGCCTCTTCAGCATCAGCCTTTGCCTTGGCTTCGGCTTCCTGCTTGGCCTTGGCTTCGGCTTCTTGCTTGGCCTTGGCCTCGGCTTCTTGCTTGGCCTTCTCCTCCTTCTTGGAGATCTTGGAGTCGGCCTCCTTCTTCTTGGCTCTTCAGCATCAGCCTTTGCCTTGGCTTCGGCTTCCTGCCCGGCCTTGGCTTCGGCTTCTTGCTTGGCCTTGGCTTCGGCTTCTTGCCGGCCTTCTCCTCCTTGGAGTCTTGAGTCGGCCTCCTTCTTCTTGTGCCTCTTCAGCATCAGCCTTTGCCTTGGCTTCGGCTTCTTGCTTGGCCTTGGCTTCGGCTTCTTGCTTGGCCTTGGCTTCGGCTTCTTGCTTGGCCTTCTCCTCCTTCTTGGAGATCTTGGAGTCGGCCTCCTTCTTCTTGGCCTCTTCAGCATCAGCCTTTACCTTGGCTTCGGCTTCTTGCTTGGCCTTGGCTTCGGCTTCTTGCTTGGCCTTCTCCTCCTTCTTGGAGATCTTGGAGTCGGCCTCCTTCTTCTTAGCCACTTCAGCATCAGCCTTTGCCTTGGCTTCGGCTTCCTGCTTGGCCTCGGCTTCTTGCTTAGCCTTGGCCTTGGCTTGCTGTTGGCCTTGGCTTCGGCTTCTTGTTTAGCCTTGGCTTCGGCTTCTTCGGCCTTCTCCTCCTTCTTGGGATCTTGGAGTCGGCCTCCTTCTTCTTGGCCCCTCTTCAGCATCAGCCTTTGCCTTGCTTCGGCTTCCTGCTTGGCCTTGGCTTGGCTTCTTGCTTAGCCTCGGCTTCTGCTTAGCCTTGCTTCGGCTTCCTGCTTGGCCTTGGCTTCGGCTTCTTGCTTGGCCTTGGCTTCGGCTTCTGCTTGGCCTTCTCCTCCTTCTTGGAGATCTTGAGTCGGCCTCCTTCTTCTTAGCCTCTTCAGCATCAGCCTTTGCCTTGGCTTCGGCTTCCTGCTTGGCCTTGGCTTCGGCTTCTTGCTTGGCCTTGGCTTCGGCTTCTTGCTTGGCCTTCTCCTCCTTCTTGGAGATCTTGGAGTCGGCCTCCTTCTTCTTGGCCTCTTCAGCATCAGCCTTTGCCTTGGCTTCGGCTTCCTGCTTGGCCTTGGCTTCCGGCTTCTTGCTTGGCCTTGGCTTCGGCTTGCTTGGCCTTCTCCTCCTTCTTGGAGATCTTGGAGTCGGCCTCCTTCTTCTTGGCCTCTTCAGCATCAGCCTTTGCCTTGGCTTCGGCTTCTTGCTTGGCCTTGGCTTTGGCTACTTGCTTGGCCTTGGCTCCGGCTTCTTGCTTGGCCTTCTCCTCCCCTTCTTGGAGATCTTGAGTCGGCCTCCTTCTTCTTGGCCTCTTCAGCATCAGCCTTTACCTTGGCTTCGGCTTCTTGCTTGGCCTTTTGGCTCGGCCCTTAGCTTGGCCTTCTCCTCCTTCTTGGAGATCTTGAGTCGGCCTCCTTCTTCTAGCCACTTCAGCATCAGCCTTGCCTTGGCTTCGGCTTCCTGCTTGGCCTTGGCTTCGGCTTCTTGCTTAGCCTTGGCTTCGGCTTGCTGTTGGCCTTGGCTTCGGCTTCTTTTAGCCTTGGCTTCGGCTTCTTGCTTGGCCTTCTCCTCCTTCTTGGAGATCTTGAGTCGGCCTCCTTCTTCTTGGCCTCTTCAGCATCAGCCTTTGCCTTGGCTTCGGCTTCTTGCTGGCCTTGGCTTCGGCTTCTTGCTTGGCCTTGGCTCGGCTTCTTGCTTGGCCTTCTCCTCCTTCTTGGAGATCTTGGAGTCGGCCTCCTTCTTCTTGGCCTCTTCAGCATCAGCCTTTGCCTTGGCTTCGGCTTCTTGCTTGGCCTTGGCTTCGGCTTCTTGCTTGGCCTTGGCTTCGGCTTCTTGCTTGGCCTTCTCCTCCTTCTTGGAGATCTTGGAGTCGGCCTCCTTCTTCTTGGCCTCTTCAGCATCAGCCTTTGCCTTGGCTTCGGCTTCTTGCTTAGCCTTGGCTTCGGCTTCCTGCTTGGCCTTGGCTTCCGCCTCCTTTTTGGTCTTTTCATCCTTCTTGGTCGGCTTGGGTCCTACCTCCTTTTCTTCTTCGGGCTTCGCTTCGACCGGTTCCTTTACTTGTTTCTTTTTCGTCGCCTCCAACTTCAGGTTGAGGTTCACTTCTTCTATGGTTTCGATCATCAGGTCAATGTCCAGACCGGCGTGAGGTTCCTTGGCGCGGAGCTGAGCGTCAACATTAGCGACGACTGACTTTTCCTTCGGCTTTGCCTCGTCTTGCTCGAATTCAGCTCCCTCGGCACGCGACTTCTTGCCGAGCTTTGTCTTACCCTCGATGCTCTCGCCCTCCTGCTCGCCACTTTGAGCTCCTTTGAGCTCTTGGGCGGCCTTCTTGGCTTTCTCCTCGGCCCCCTTCTGAGCCTGGTCGTCTTTCTTGACGGCCTTGGATTCAACATCCTTCTTCTTGGCCTCTTCAGCATCAGCCTTTGCCTTGGCTTCGGCTTCTTGCTTGGCCTTGGCTTCGGCTTCTTGCTTGGCCTTCTCCTCCTTCTTGGAGATCTTGGAGTCGGCCTCCTTCTTCTTGGCCTCTTCAGCATCAGCCTTTGCCTTGGCTTCGGCTTCTTGCTTGGCCTTGGCTTCGGCTTCTTGCTTGGCCTTGGCTTCGGCTTCTTGCTTGGCCTTCTCCTCCTTCTTGGAGATCTTGGAGTCGGCCTCCTTCTTCTTGGCCTCTTCAGCATCAGCCTTTGCCTTGGCTTCGACTTCCTGCTTGGCCTTGGCTTCGGCTTCTTGCTTGGCCTTCTCCTCCTTCTTGGAGATCTTGGAGTCGGCCTCCTTCTTCTTGGCCTCTTCAGCATCAGCCATAGCCTTGGCTTCGGCTTCTTGCTTGGCCTTGGCTTCGGCTTCTTGCTTGGCCTTCTCCTCCTTCTTGGTGATCTTGGAGTCGGCCTCCTTCTTCTTGGCCTCTTCAGCATCAGCCTTTGCCTTGGCTTCGACTTCCTGCTTGGCCTTGGCTTCGGCTTCTTGCTTGGCCTTGGCTTCGGCTTCTTGCTTGGCCTTCTCCTCCTTCTTGGAGATCTTGAGTCGGCCTCCTTCTTCTTAGCCTCTTCAGCATCAGCCTTTGCCTTGGCTTCGGCTTCCTGCTTGGCCTTGGCTTCGGCTTCTTGCTTAGCCTTGGCTTCGGCTTGCTGCTTGGCCTTGGCTTCGGCTTCTTGCTTAGCCTTGGCTTCGGCTTCTTGCTTGGCCTTCTCCTCCTTCTTGGAGATCTTGGAGTCGGCCTCCTTCTTCTTGGCCTCTTCAGCATCAGCCTTTGCCTTGGCTTCGGCTTCTTGCTTGGCCTTGGCTTCGGCTTCTTGCTTGGCCTTGGCTTCGGCTTCTTGCTTGGCCTTCTCCTCCTTCTTGGAGATCTTGGAGTCGGCCTCCTTCTTGGCCTCTTCAGCATCAGCCTTTGCCTTGGCTTCGGCTCTGTTTGGCCACTTTGGCTTCGGCTTCTTGCTTAGCCTTGGCTTCGGCTTCTTGCTTGGCCTTGGCTTCGGCTTCTTGCTTGGCCTTGGCTTCGGCTTCTTGCTTGGCTTTCTCCTCCTTCTTGGAGATCTTGGAGTCGGCCTCCTTCTTCTTGGCCTCTTCAGCATCAGCCTTTGCCTTGGCTTCGGCTTCTTGCTTAGCCTTGGCTTCGGCTTCCTGCTTGGCCTTGGCTTCCGCCTCCTTTTTGGTCTTTTCATCCTTCTTGGTCGGCTTGGGTCCTACCTCCTTTTCTTCTTCGGGCTTCGCTTCGACCGGTTCCTTTACTTGTTTCTTTTTCGTCGCCTCCAACTTCAGGTTGAGGTTCACTTCTTCTATGGTTTCGATCATCAGGTCAATGTCCAGACCGGCGTGAGGTTCCTTGGCGCGGAGCTGAGCGTCAACATTAGCGACGACTGACTTTTCCTTCGGCTTTGCCTCGTCTTGCTCGAATTCAGCTCCCTCGGCACGCGACCTCTTGCCGAGCTTTGTCTTACCCTCGATGCTCTCGCCCTCCTGCTCGCCACTTTGAGCTCCTTTGAGCTCTTGGGCGGCCTTCTTGGCTTTCTCCTCGGCCCCCTTCTGAGCCTGGTCGTCTTTCTTGACGGCCTTGGATTCAACATCCTTCTTCTTGGCCTCTTCAGCATCAGCCTTTGCCTTGGCTTCCGCTTCTTGCTTGGCCTTCTCCTCCTTCTTGGAGATCTTGGAGTCGGCCTCCTTCTTCTTGGCCTCTTCAGCATCAGCCTTTGCCTTGGCTTCGGCTTCTTGCTTGGCCTTGCTTCGGCTTCGCTTGGCCTTGGCTTCGGCTTCTGCTTGGCCTTCTCCTCCTTCTTGGAGATCTTGGAGTCGGCCCTCCTTCTTCTTGGCCCTCTTCAGCATCAGCCTTTGCCTTGGCTTCGGCTTCGTTGGCCTTGGCTTCGGCTTCTTGCTTGGCCTTGGCTTCGGCTTCTTGCTAGCCTTCTCCTCCTTCTTGGAGATCTTGGAGTCGGCCTCCTCTTCTTTCCCAACCTCTTCAGCATCAGCCATAGCCTTGGCTTCGGCTTCTTGCTTGGCCTTGGCTTGGCTTCTTGCTTGGCCTCCTCCTTCTTGGAGATCTTGGAGTCGGCCTCCTTCTTCTGGCCTCTTCAGCATCAGCCTTTGCCTTCTGGCTTCTTGCTTGGCCTTGGCTTCGGCTTCTTGCTGGCCTTGGCTTCGGCTTGCTTGGCCTTGGCTTCGGCTTCTTGCTTGGCCTTCTCCTCCCCTTCTTGGAGATCTTGAGTCGGCCTCCTTCTTCTAGCCTCTTCAGCATCAGCCTTTGCCTTGGCTTCGCCCTGCTTGGCCTTGGCTTCGGCTTCTTGCTTGGCCTTGGCTTCGGCTTCCTGTTCCGGCTTGGCTTCGGCTTCCTGCTTGGCCTTGGCTTCGGCTTCTCTTGGCCTTGGCTTCGGCTTCTTGCTTGGCCTTGGCTTCGGCTTCTGCTTGGCCTTCTCCTCCTTCTTGAGATCTTGAGTCGGCCTCCTCTTCTTGGCCTCTTCAGCATCAGCCTTTGCCTTGGCGGCTTCCGACTTCCTGTAGCCTTGGCTTCGGCTCTTGCCTGGCCTTCTCCTCCTTCTTGGAGATCTTGGAGTCGGCCTCCTTACTTCTTAGCCTCTTCAGCATCAGCCTTTGCCTTGGCTTCGGCTTCCTGCTTGGCCTTGGCTTCGGCTTCTTTGCTTGGCCTTGGCTTCGGCTTCTTGCCTGGCCTTGGCTTCGGCTTCTGCTTGGCCTTCTCCTCCTTCTTGGAGATCTTGGAGTCGGCCTCCTTCTTCCCAGCTCTCTTCAGCATCAGCCTTTGCCTTGGCTCGGCTTCCTGCTTGGCTCAGCTTCGGCTTCTTGTTTGGCCTTGGCTTCGGCTTCTTGCTTGGCCTTGCTTCGGTTCTTGCTTGGCCTTCCCTCCTTCTTGGAGATCTTGAGTCGGCCTCCTTCTTCTTGGCCTCCCCAGCATCAGCCTTTGCCTTGGCTTCGGCTTCTTGCTTAGCCTTGGCTTCTGGCTTCCTGCTTGGCCTTGGCTTCCCGCCTCCTTTTTGGTCTTTTCATCCTTCTTGGTCGGCTTGGGTCCTACCTCCTTTTCTTCTTCGGGCTTCGCTTCGACCGGTTCCTTTACTTGTTTTTCTTTTTTCGTCGCCTCCAACTTCAGGTTGAGGTTCACTTCTTCTATGGTTTCGATCATCAGGTCAATGTCCAGACCGGCGTGAGGTTCCTTTGGCGCGGAGCTGAGCGTCAACATTAGCGACGACGGACTTTTCCTTCGGCTTTGCCTCGTCTTGCTCGAATTCAGCTCCCTCGGCACGCGACTTCTTGCCGAGCTTTGTCTTACCCTCGATGCTCTCGCCCTCCTGCTCGCCACTTTGAGCTCCTTTGAGCTCTTGGGCGGCCTTCTTGGCTTTCTCCTCGGCCCCCTTCTGAGCCTGGTCGTCTTTCTTGACGGCCTTGGATTCAACATCCTTCTTCTTGGCTCTTCAGCATCAGCCCTTGCCTTGGCTTCGGCTTCTGGCTTGGCCTTGGCTTCGGCTTCTTGCTTGGCCTTGGCTTCGGCTTCTGCTTGGCCTTGGCTTCGGCTTTGCTTGGCCTTCTCCTCCTTCTTGGAGATCTTGGAGTGGGCCTCCTTCTTCTTGGCCTCTTCAGCATCAGCCATAGCCTTGGCTTCGGCTTCTTGCTTGGCCTTGGCTTCGGCTTCTTGCTTAGCCTGACTTCGCTTCCTCCTGGCCTTGGCTTCGGCTTCTTGCTTAGCCTTGGCTTCGGCTTCGCTTGCCTTCTCCTCCTTCTTGAGATCTTGAGTCGGCCTCTCTAACTTGCCTCTTCAGCATCAGCCTTTGCCTTGGCTTCGGCTTCCTGCTTGTCCTTGGCTTCGGCTTCTTGCTTAGCCTTGGCTTCGGCTTCCTGCTTGGCCTTGGCTTCGGCTTCTTGCTTAGCCTTGTCTTCGGCTTTGCTTGGCCTTCTCCTCCTTCTTGGAGATCTTGGAGTCGGCCTCATTCTTCTTGGCCCCTTCAGCATCAGCCTTTGCCTTGGCTTCGGCTTCTTGCTTGGCCTTGGCTTCGGCTTCTTGCTTGGCCTTGGCTTCGGCTTCTTGCTTGGCCTTCTCCTCCTTCTTGGAGATCTTGAGAGTCGGCCTCCTTCTTCTTGGCCTCTTCAGCATCAGCCTTTGCCTTGGCTTCGGCTTCCTGCTTGGCCTTGGCTTCGGCTTGCTTAGCCTTGGCTTCGGCTTCGCTGCGGCCCTTGGCTTCGGCTTCTGCTTAGCCTTGGCTTCGGCTTCTTGCTTGGCCTTCTCCTCCTTCTTGGAGATCTTGGAGTCGGCCTCCTTCTTCTTGGCCTCTTCAGCATCAGCCTTTGCCTTGGCTTCGGCTTCCTGCTTGGCCTTGGCTTCGGCTTCTTGCTTGGCCTTCTCCACCTTCTTGGAGTCGGCCTCCTTCTTCTTGGCCTCTTGAGCATCAGCCTTTGCCTTGACTTCGACTTCTTGCTTGGCCTTGGCTTCGGCTTCTTGCTTGGCCTTCTCCTCCTTCTTGGAGATCTTGGAGTCGGCCTCCTTCTTCTTGGCCTCTTCAGCATCAGCTTTGGCCTTGGCTTCCTGCTTGGCCTTGGCTTCGGCTTCGCTTGGCCTTGGCTTCGGCTCCTGCTTGGCCTTGGCTTCGGCTTCTTGCTTGCCTTGGCTTCGGCTTCTTGCTTGGCCTTGGCTTCGGCTTCTTGCTTGGCCTTCTCCTCCTTCTTGGCGGTCTTGGAGTCGGCCTCCTTCTTCTTGGCCTCTTCGGCATCAGCCTTTGCCTTGGCTTCGGCTTCTTGCTTGGCCTTGGCGTCCTCTTGCTGGGCCTTCTTGTCCTTCTTTGTAGGTTTGGGCTCCGCGTCCTTCTTGTCTTCAGGCGGTGTGGCCTTTTGAAGGGTACCGCCTCCGCCGATGGTCATTGTCGCGTCCGAGACGTTATCGATCTCGACCGAAACTTCCATGTTCGATTTCGATGACAATTTTTTCAGTGTTATGTCCATAATGGCTCTCGCAATTCCGTCCTTGCTATCCATAACGATGTTTTCGGTGGTGACCATTGGTTTTTGCTCCAGTTCATCCGCCTCGAAATCGGCTCCCTCAGCTCTCGACTTTTTACCGAGCTTGGTTTTACCTTCGATGCTCTCGCCTGCCTGCTCACCACTTTGAGCTCCTTTGAGGTCTTGGACCGCCTTCTTGGCTTTCTCCTCGGCCTCCTTCTGGGCCTTCTCCTCCTTCTTGGCGGTCTTGGAGTCGACCTCCTTCTTCTTGGCCTCTTCAGCATCAGCCTTTGCCTTGGCTTCGGCTTCTTGCTTGGCCTTGGCTTCGGCTTCTTGCTTAGCCTTGGCTTCGGCTTCTTGCTTGGCCTTGGCTTCGGCTTCTTGCTTGGCCTTCTCCTCCTTCTTGGAGATCTTGGAGTCGACCTCCTTCTTCTTGGCCTCTTCAGCATCAGCCTTTGCCTTGGCTTCGGCTTCCTGCTTGGCCTTGGCTTCGGCTTCTTGCTTGGCCTTCTCCTCCTTCTTGGCGTTCTTGGAGTCGACCTCCTTCTTCTTGGCCTCTTCAGCATCAGCCTTTGCCTTGGCTTCGACTTCCTGCTTGGCCTTGGCTTCGGCTTCTTGCTTGGCCTTGGCTTCGGCTTCTTGCTTGGCCTTGGCTTCGGCTTCTTGCTTAGCCTTGGCTTCGGCTTCTGGCTTGGCCTCGGCTTCGGCTTCTTGCTTAGCCTTGGCTTCGACTTCTTGCTTGGCCTTCTCCTCCTTCTTGGAGATCTTGGAGTCGGCCTCCTTCTTCTTGGCCTCTTCAGCGTCAGCCTTTGCCTTGGCTTCGGCTTCTTGCTTGGCCTTGGCTTCCGCCTCCTTTTTGGTCTTTTCATCCTTCTTGGTCGGCTTGGGTTCTACCTCCTTTTCTTCTTCGGGCTTCGCTTCGACCGGTTCCTTTACTTGTTTCTTTTTCGTCGCCTCCAACTTCAGGTTGAGGTTCACTTCTTCTATGGTTTCGATCATCAGGTCAATGTCCAGACCGGCGTGAGGTTCCTTGGCGCGGAGTTGAGCGTCAACATTAGCGACGACTGACTTTTCCTTCGGCTTTGCCTCGTCTTGCTCGAATCCAGCTCCCTCGGCACGCGACTTCTTGCCGAGCTTTGTCTGTACCCTCGATGCTCTCGCCCTCCCGCGTCGCCACTTTCGAGCCCTTGAGCATCAGAAAGGTCTAAGTGCTCGGCTGCCTATCCGGCCTCTTCCTGAGCCTGGTCGCCCTCTTGATCGGCCTTAGATTCCGAAGCAGGATATCCTACATGGCCTGTGGAGAACAGGATCAGCCTCTGTCTGCTTCGGAGAGATGCCCAACACCAAGGCCTACCCCGCGCTTGAGCGGATTCTGCTTGGCCTTGGCTTCCTGCTCTCTGATCGCCCTGGATCCCGATACCCCCCTGCTTGCCATCGGTCCCCCGTCTGGACCTGAGGCATCTTATTCCTTCAGCACGGCCAGCCTCTTCTGTTTCCCGGACTTGGATCCGGTCTTCTGCTTGGCCTGGCTTCCCCTGATACCTGAAACTTGGCATTCAGGCTTCGGCATTCTTGCAAACAGGCCCTCCGGCTATCTGGCTCTTCTCCGCCTCTTCTCCTTCCCTCCCTTGAGAACCTGAGTCGGCCTCCATTCCCTCTCCTTCCAGCATGAGCCTGAACTGCCTTCGGCTCGGCTCGCCTGGTTGTCCTGGCTCTCGGCTTCTTGCTAGCCTTGGCTTCGGCTTCCTGTTTGGCCTTGGTTTCGGTTCTGCTTCAGCCTTGTCTTCGGCTTCTGTTACGGCCTCCTCCTCCTTCTTGGAGATCTTGAGTCGGCCTCATTCTTTCTTGGTCTCTTCAGCATCAGCCTTAAGCTTTTTGGCTTCGGCTTTCTTGCTTGGCCTTGGCTTCGGCTTCTTGCTTGGCCTTGGACTCTGCGGTTTGCTTGGCCTCTCCTCCTTCTTGAGATCTTGGAGTCGGCCTCCTTCTTTCTGGTCTCTTCAGCATCAGCCTTTGCCTTTGGCTTCGCTTCCTGCATCCTTGGTTTGGCTT